TGTTTGAAAATTTATATGCCCGTGTCTTTATGAAATATCAATAATTTTAATTTTTATTTAAGTAATAAAATTTGTATATCGGTTTTTTATTGCTAATGGACATTCAAAAGTACAACAAATTCCCGCCTTTGTAATCGATAAAATTTATCAATCTATGCAACTAAATTTTCTCGAGGCAAACTAAAACGCACTTCCTGTATGCTAGCTGTACTTATGCTACGTATTATCCTATCCTACTATCTACTTTATACAAATTTAAATCTTCATTCGTGATATTTATATACATCATCGATATTATAAATACCTCTGATCTTTTCAGAATCCATATGCTTCAACTCATAGCTGTTTACTCCATCTTCGTTGTTTACTATGTATGGCCCTTCGAAAACAGGCATCAATTTTTTCTCTCTCCCATCAAATTCTTCGCACATATTCACCGTGTACTCCGTGTCTTCTTCAAACACCACTGTCTCCATTGTGTCCTCTTCATTTTCCTTTGTTTTTTTTTCTGTTGGGCTCGTCTCTTCTTTTGAGGAATCCCATATGTTCTTTTCAACTAAATCCTTTTCCTTTTCTTTCATTTCCTTTGTTTCTTCTTCTGTTGGGCTCGTCTCTTCTTTTGAGGAATCCCAAGTTTTGCTTTCATTTCTTGTCAAAATCTTTCCATCTTCTTCTCCTGAGCTCGTCTCATCTTTTGAGGAATCCCAGGTTTTTTTTTCTTTGATCTTTTTCTGACCTTTTCCCCTCTTTCTTCCTTTTCCTTTCTTCGTCACCAGGTTCATTTCCACCGTTTGTTCTTTCTCTGATTCGTCCGTAATTTGTTTCTCTTGTTCCTTATCCTGTTCTTCTTCTTTTTCCTTTGTTATTTTCATCGTATTGGTTTTGAAGTCGATCACTACATGTTTTTCCGTTAATTCGTCAACGCCTACAATCATGTCATGTGACATATTCGGCATTATTACACATTGAAGTGCATACATATTTTTTTTCAATCGTACCATTACTCGTATACCTTCATTTATTGTTGCCAATGTCCGTTTATTTGGGCCCATTAAATTCACCCTAGGTATTTTATAAATTAGACTTGTTAAATTTACTTCTTCGATTAATTTTCTGTTGACCAGTGTTATTTCAGAGCCTGTGTCTATCATAATTTTAATTGGTTTCTCATTTATAAATCCATCCACAAATTTTAAATTAACTCCATTTCTCTTTTCATTGTTTCCTGCCAGTTTAATAAATTCCTTGGGGTGACAAAAAATTCCTGTTTGTTTCTTCGTTTTTAGTGAGCACCTTCTTGAAAACACGCCTGTTGTTCTTCTGTGTTTTCTCGCCCGTCATCTTCTCTCTCATATTCATTTTCTTCTCTTTGCATATTATTTATTTCTTTTCTGTTCTCTTCTGGTCTATCATTCCCGTATCGGTTACCGCGAGATTCCTGTTCATTCCGTGGGTTATTGTATCTGTTTCCTTGGTATGGGCGGTTATTTCTACTCTGATTTTCCCGATCCCTGTTTTCATTCCATCTCTGGGTTCTGGGTTCATAATTCTCTCTTCCGTTCGGTCTATTTTCGTATCCCCGTCTAGGTATGAATTCTCGTCTTGGATAATCTCTTCTAAAGTTTTGACCTCTATCTCTATATTCTTGGTTTTCTCTTTGTCTATAATTTTCTTGCGGTCTTCTTTCTCTTCTTTCATGCCTACGCGATTCTCTCATTTGCAAAAATTGACATAAGCTGTCAATGTCCTTGTAATTTTGGAGATTTATGTGGTCTTCCAAGGTATCTTCAAAGTGCCGCGATATCAACTTTACCAATTGTTCTGATGAATAATTATATTGCAAATGCTTTGCATTATTATATAGTTGTAATGCGTACATCTTTTCTGATACGCCCATCCTCTCATGGTATTTTCCATTTTGTAACTCTTTATTTACTTGTAGTTGCTGGATTTTTCCCCAGAAATAATTTAAGAATCTTCTCTCAAAATCTTGCCAATTGTCAAATTCTTCTTCCTTGCTGACAAACCAAAGATTTGCCTCCTCTTTGAGATGGTTTCTGATGGTTTCCTTTGCTGTTGCAAACGGTCCTATGTATTTGACTTTTTCCTTTAGGTTATTTATAAAAGGCACTGGGTGTAGTTTCCTTATATCCCCGCCAAATCGTACTTTTACGTCTTCTGTGCTATGTACGATAACTTCCTTTCTTTCTACTTCTCTTATCTCCATCTCTGCAATTTGTTTAAATCTCCTTTCCGTTTCTTTCCGGTCTTCTTGTAGCGCATTTTCAAATTTTATTTCTATCTGTTCTAATTCCCTTTCTTGCATACTCTGAATATTCTTCATTTTAGTTTCGATTTCTTCTCTCTGCAATTCTAGTTTCCTCTCTGTTTCTTCCCTACTTCTTTCTAAACAGACTTTTATTTCGTTTTCATATTTGTCCATACGCGTTTCCATTTTTTGTTCCATTTTTCTTTGGTTTTCTTCCAAATTGTCCAATTTTTGTTCCGTTCTTTGTTGTGATTCATCCATCTTCTGTGATAGGAGTTGCATCATCTGTATTAATTTTTCTATTCCCGATTCTTGTTTTTCTGTCTCCATTACTGTTGTGTCTAATACGTCTTCCTGGTCTGAATATTCTTCCTGTTCTGATTTATCTTCTTGTTTTTTGTTCTCTTTGCTCTTGTTTCTTGTGTTTGGCATTTATTCTGTTTTTATCCCCGCCAAATATAAAATTCTACTGGTCTGTTGCAACAAACGGGACTTTTCTTGTTCAAATGTAATAACTCTTGAGTACGAGTATCAAATTTCAATATCCCACAAATAAATCAAATGGTAAAATATCAAATGTCAAAATCAATCAAATAAATCAAGTATGGTAAAATTATCAAATGTAAATATCACACAAATAAATCAATTATGGTAACCTATAAATTGTCAATATCCCGAGTAAATCAATTATGGTAAATTGTATCTTAAAAAAAAATATAAATCTTTATGTCCTCAAATTTTACATAATATTTCACTTTATCCACGGCATCTAAACTTTCAAATATCTGCTCGTCTACTCTTATCCTTTCAAATTTGCCAACTAGAAATATTTTTCAAAGCTTTTAGAAAAGATCCTGTCTATATTTATTAAATGATCTAATCTCCAATTAATCACAATAAATCAGCATTAATTAATTACAATCTCAGGTTATTTAACTTGTACTATTTACCTTTGATCGTGGATTCAAAATATTTTCCAATTGGCTTCCTAATTGGGATAGGTAATATGACCTGAATAAAATACACAGAATTTCAACTGAACTATATGTGAGTTGTCCTTTATTTTAATGAAATTTTATATAACAATCAATCCTATAATATTTGCAATATTATATTTTAAATATATGAGAAGTTGTTTTCTATCATGGACCCAAATGTTATTTTACATTGATTTTTAATATGTGTTATAACTAAGCTCTCTTTATAATTTTTTTTAAATGATCGCAAAATTAACTGTCTCTATTATTTATTCAATTTATTTAATTAATAAATGAAAACCACACTCCTGCTCTAATGAAAATTGACTGACCTTTCGTTCTCTGCCGTTGTAATTCTATGGCCACGCCATAAAAAAAAACCTTTCTCTGCTTCTGCTCCTATTGTGGTCCAGATGACGTACACCTTTCTCCTATCTGTCCTTGTATCTGCAACCCAACAACTCGTGTAATTCTATGCAGCCTCCTTTTGAGCCAATCTCCGCGCCTGTTTATAACTTCAAATGTTTCCGGCTTCGTCTGATATTAATATTCTTATACCCTTTGGTTTTTCTATCTCTCTGTACCCCGTTCCTCACACTGATCAGCTTTTACACAGCAAATAAACACACCCGGTAAATTACGTCTTCGGGACTTCAAACAAACACAAACCACAAAGCTCCTTCCTTCTTGGGCGACGAAAACTGACTACCTAACTTTTTTTCTCTCTCCCCTCTCATAGCCAAAACCACTACCTCCATTGCATTCAAAAATTGACCAATAAAAATCATCCACCTCTGTGACGTATATCGTTACCAACCAACTCTCTTTATAAAACGTCATTCGGGTAATTACAGAAAACAACATTCTTTAATTATTCTAACTAAATCTATCTGCTTTACAAATATTTCTTACTAATAGCTACAAACGATACCTGTTTCTCAATTTAATGTCTTTTGTTAATAAACTTTTACCGATATAATCTTTCGGGGAGAAAAACCACCGCAAATCCCGGTCTATTGTTTAAACACTGTCTATATACACTTTTATTCTGGGTAAATCCATTCCACAATAACCGACTTATTTAAATTTCTTATCGATAATATTTGAAAGTCTTGTCTCTGAGGCCTAATGAACAATTCTTCGAACAACTTAAAATACATATTTTGTCTTATACAGGATGTTTGAAAATTTATATGCCCGTGTCTTTATGAAATATCAATAATTTTAATTTTTATTTAAGTAATAAAATTTGTATATCGGTTTTTTATTGCTAATGGACATTCAAAAGTACAACAATATATATATATATATATATATATATATATATATATATATATATACAGAAAAGAAATTTAATCTTTGCAGAGAAGTTAAATAGTAAACTCTTAAATATTGGGAAAATCTTCAGGATTTATATCCCCAATATATATATATATATATATATATATATATATATATATATATATATATATATATATATATATATTACTTGTATATCTTTTGAAAACAACACGATTTTGATCCAGTCTTTTGATTGGTATATCATCTTTAAACATTGCAATAGGTATTTTGTCCATAACAGGTACATTAGAGATTTAGATTCAGTACAAGACAAGTGAGACACTACTTATTGTACATCAGCCTGCGTAATATTATAAATTTGATAATAAATAAATATTTAAGCAAAAAAGATCAACTTTATTATAATATCTGCATTATTACACAAATATCTATATCTTTTATAGCACAATAAATTAAACAGGAGTTTTTGCTAAGACGGACTGCATACATTTAACAAAATTGATAGCCCTCTCTTCTGCGTTTTCTCCGTTAGTCTTACCACATTTGTCTTTAAGTTCTTTCCGACGCTCAGGGAATGCAGTCAATGCATTGACATGTTTGTTAAACGTATCAGGTACAATGTGTCCATCGCGATCCAATGATCCCACTTTCCGACTAACGCAAAGAGCTTGCTTGCCAGTATCAGGGGTTCTTCTTCCATGTCTAATGTTTTCTAATTCGTCTACAGTTGAACCGGATTCCTTTTGGCATTCTCTAGCAAGTTCTTTTACTCTCTGTCGTTCAGGATTGACTGCCTCCTGCAACAAAATATTGTAGTAAATTAAAGTTCGATTATAATAGATCATAGATAAAAATTACACATGAAAAATTTCTTTTAAATACAACATCGGACGAAAAAAGAAGGGACATAGTGGGATAAGATGGTAAAATCTACGCTCTTCTGGATTTATGTTTGGAGCTAGACACTTTAAAGTATATATTTAGAAACATTTAGCCAAATTTTTAGCTAACTAGCTCTAATGTCGCCTATCGCAAAAAATGTATTTTTTTAAATTTCCTGAGCGATTTTATGGTTTAAAAATCTACAAAAATTCACGAGCACACATTTGAATGCCTAAAAATTGCTTGATTTTTTCAGATTTTTTAGATCAAAATATTAAGCTTAGGTAAAATATTTAAATTTTTAAGGTTTTGTTGGTATTTTTTGGCAACTTCCTAATTATAATTTTTTCTGTATATTTTCCAGTTTTTTAGAATGCTGGGGTTAGATTTTTTATTTTCTCTTCAAAATTCCTCAAAATTCGAGAAAATCAATTTTTTTGATATTTTTTCAATTACATAACCTTCATTTAAATGTGTCAAATATCCATTTTTGTTTCTCTTCGTCCTTTATTTGAATAGTTTATTTATTTAACCATTTTCATGTCCAACATTTGAATTTTTCGTTTATTATTTTCCAATATTTTAAATGGCGGGGTTAGATTTGCTATTTTCTTTACGTAACATCCTTAAAATTCGAAATTATTGTTTTTTCATTATTTCTAATAAAGAGATTAGGTTTGCCATTTACCAGTATACGACAAACCCTCTTTTTTGATATTTTTTTCCTGTCTTTTAAGCACATAACCTCATTTAATGTGGCAAATAACGATTTTTGTTCCTCTTCCCACTGTATTCAGATGACTTTAATTTAAATATTTTTATTCTCAAAAACACTCTGATTTTTTCAGATTTTATGGATCAAAATTGAGCTTAGGAAAAATATTTAAATTTTTCAAAGAATTTTCAGTTTATATAGATGATTTTTGGCAAACCTTTGAATAATTATTTTTTGAATATTTTTTAGATTAGTTATATAGTATTTAGGTTAGATTTTCAATTTTCGCTCTGAAAAATCCTTGAAATTCGGAAAAACTACTTTTTGCGTGTTTTTTAATTGGTTTTAGCACATAACCTCAGCGTGATTTCTAATAGAGGGATCAGGTTTGATATTCTCAGACAAACTCAAAACACGAAAACCTTTTTTTATATGTTTTATAGTGCATCTGATTGAAGAACGATGTTTCATCACTTGTTTCCGTTTTTTTTTTGTATGTTGCTGGTCTTATAACTTTTGACTTATACTTTGCATTGCTAGAATAATAAATAACTGTGTTAAAGTGCGAACAGTCACAATTATCGCCCAAAATACTGCCGTACACGATTTGTATTCCACATAACATTTTTAGTTTTTGCCATTTATTTGTCTTAACTCAATTAAAGCTTTAATGACATTAATAAAGTTAAAACTAAATGCATGTATTAAGTAAAGCTACTCCGTGTGCATGTTGTGTCACTTCCATATAAAAACAAGTTTTATGCCGCAAAAAAAAATTTTGTTGCGGCATAAGACTGCCTTATACAGGAAGTCCGTTTTAGTGGCTTTGGATTATTGATCCATTCAGCCACGATATATAATAAATACTATTTGCTACAATAGTAAATACATATACGGATAATATATACATATGCGTACATATACACACTTATGTACGCACATACGCAAATACATAATATATAGGTATTGTTAAATAAAAATAAAAAAAAATACAAAACGGAAGTGGAAACATTAAATTGACGTCTATTTAAACTCTTCATTTAGGGTCATAACCAACTTAAATTAATTTGCAAATAAGAAATATACAAATAATACTAAATGCTAATACAAAATATTTTTCACAGCGCTAAGACACAAACCCGGTTCAACATTTCGGAGGTTTAGGCCTTCTTTGTAAATGTTTTTTTTAATTTTTTTTCATTACAGTTTTTTATTTATATATAATTTTTTCCTTTTTTTTTCGTTTTTTTTTTAATTAAATATAAAATTTTTTTCGTCAGCTTAAAAAAAATCAGCGTGTTTTTGGGCACAAAAATATTTAAATTAAAATCACTGCCCGAAGAAAGGGAAGGAAAAAAACAAAATCATTATTTGTCACATTTAAATGAGGTTAGGTTAGGGATTATATAGTCTTAAAATATGAGAAAAATATAGAAAATTGGTTTTTCTTGAATTTTTGAATTTTCCTAATCAAAAGTAACAAATGTATTCCCTTCATTCATAAAGCACCAAAAAAATTACATAAAAAATAATAATTTAGAAGTTTACCAAAAATTACCTACATAACACCTAAATAATTTTCCTAATCCCAATGTTGATTCAAAAAATCTGAAACAAAGAAAAAGGGTTTTGCGCACTAGAATAAAAATTTTCGCGCGTTTGTGAATTTTTTAATTTTTTAAAAATCGCTCAGGAGAAATGTTTTTTGAAAAATCAAATATTTTGCAATAGGGAGTCACCCAGGGTCACCTAGGGAGTAAAAATTTGGTTGAATTTGTTTCTAAATATGTTTTTTCTACTGCCCAACTCCAAATAAAAATCCAGATGAGTGTAGATATTACCATCTATCACCCATGGACTAACTATGCTTAAGTAGTAACATTATTACCCATGGACTAGTCATGGAAACACAGAATGAAAGAGAGGAATCTAGCATAAGTTCAAGTGGATTGCACATACTGAATTTTCAATAGCATTTACAAAGAAAAAGAAACTCAAGCTCAAGCTTAAACTTAAAATCATCATATTTGTGCTAATTCTATATACGAAACTCATTTGGGACAAGTATAAAAATAGACAATTTTGTAGTGTACCAAATAAGTTCTAATAATCAGCAGTAATTTGTGCAGGAAGAAATATAAATTTAACCTAAAAATATGTGTTGAAATTTTTCTTACAAACTAAGGATTTATTTGTTGCCCTAAAACTGGTTGAGACATGCAAAATAAATTTGGGGATTACTTAAGCACTAACCATTCTTTGCCTTAGTTCTAAGCTGAGATAATTATTGTAAAGCAACGCATTCATTTTAATGCCTTTCATACTAAATATGAGTACTTAAATTTTCTAAATTTTAGTCACAATTGGATGAACTAGAGTTAGTCGTTCTCAAATTTATTTCTCTAAATGTACAAAAACTTGCTTTAAACAAAAAGAAGAAAATAATTTGTAAGAACTAGGAGCTGTTGTTACCAAAATATATATTTAAAGTTAAAACTCCAAGAATGCTTCATTTTATACGTAAAAACCCTAAAAAAAGACAAAGGGCCAGGTTCGAAATTCTATTTAAACAAACGACGATATTCTAAAAGTAGTAAAAGTAGAACCGGATAGTCTAAGAATTGAAAGAAACCTGTAGAGGGTATATGGGGATGAATATCCAGCACTGGAAGAGGGCAATAAAGACTTAAAACTTAGTACCCTAACAAGAAAAAAAATCAGAAACCATAATAGCGAGAAAAAGGAATTACAGAATACACAACATCCAGTTAAACAAAAACTAGAGAGCCAAAAATAGATTATAATAGACTATATTAAAAGAAATAAGGAAGATGTGCGAGGTCATTTTATAGAAAATGGAGTTTTAAGTATTGGCAGATATTACCCAAACAAATAAAGGGCCACATATAGCATTATAGTTAGCTATAACAAAGCTGATTATAACATAATCCTCAAAAAAGTAAAAAAAGAGTCACTAGGTATATGGACTAAGAGACTACGTAATAAGATTAATAGAAAAAAGACTAGAGACTACCTAAGTAGCTCGAAGAAAAATAATTGGTTAATCTAATAATAAGGGTTGACATAGCTAAAAACCAGAAGAAAATTTCAGAAACTATTTACAAAAAAAATCAAAAAATGGGAAAAATTTAAAAAAATAGTGAAACAAGGTTGATAAGAAAAGAATGTAAAGCCGTCACCATTTTGGTCCTAGCCAAATACACTGGGCATATGCTCAAAAAACAACATTGAGAGCTGGTGTTGCCCACTACATAATAACAAAAGTATAATCCCAAATGGCTAAAAAAAACTTACACAAAACCTGACCTGAAACCCGAAAAAAAATTTCTATCGTAAAAAACTATTTCAAAAAACCGCGATGAAACGACCTACACAATAGAGATAGGTGCTTATAATGCAACGTAAATCACGAAAAGAAAGGGCTCAGTTCTAAAGACGATGTTTTAGGAGAGAAATACATTCTGGTAAGCAAAAATAAAACAAATGATGCAACTAACAGGTAAATCTTGACAATGATTAAAAAGAAACCAATTGTACTTATGCCGGTGGCAGTCTACATTCCCCATGAAAAGAGCAAAAAATTTGCACAATATAAGACACAAATAGTAGCAGATGAACAGCAATAACAGATAATTCCCATTCTGGAAATCACCTAGAAAAAATGAATCAACTGAATTCTGCTACAAACCGATCAACACGATCAACCAACTAGTAAGTTAATTTTTAACTAATTATTAACTCAATTAACTTATAACACGATCAATCTTAGATAAAGTTACATAAAAATATTCATATTCAGAAGCAGGCAAAAAATCTAAAAAATAATTTGTCCGAAGCAAAAAAATTTGATTTTGGTAAATTTTTAAAAACGTTTGTTTAAAAAATTCTGGCCACTTTTTTTTTGTCGGTAGCATCGTGATTCGTATTAAAAACAGGCCTAGGAGTGTGACTATGCAAAAAATAGCAAAATCTAGATTCTAAGAGAAAAAAAAGAAACCACTATCTATAGGTATGCTCTTAATTGCAGCACTTCAAGAAACTCCAGAGCAGCTTACATGGAGGATATTAGAAAAATGAAATTTGTCATACATAAGGCCTATAATATATAATAAATTTTCTGCAAGAAATAAAACAATAACAGCTTCTGTAATCACTAAGATACTATCAGAAAAAAGAAGA